ATCTACCTAAGGCGGCCTCATTGGGCAAGAACCATATGCTACCGAGGTCACATGGTCCCATCCTGTGCCTCCTCCCCACTGACTCAGCCCCCAATCCCCTTCCTAGCAGAAATCCACAGGCAGCTTCGGCCCCCTTCGTTCTCTTGCTCACTTCTGGATTTTCCATCCATTCACGCTCCAACCCCCAGTGGTCTCATTCCTTCGTGGATTTCTACAATGGGAAGAAAAGTGCAGGGTGGGACTCTGGCTGCTGTACCTGTGGGGAAAAATAGGTTGAATGTTTGCACAGCCATGGCTAAAAGCAGTGTTGCCCTTGACCTGGATGAGGCCCCTACACAACGACCTATGCTTTAGAGGGCTCATTCTGGCCCCTTCCCACCATGCCCTTCCCAAATCAAGAAGCTCATGGAACCAAACCTGCTCATGCAGAACCTATGCTTCCCCTTGTCAACCAGGCTCTGGGTATCTGGAACATCACTGAGCCTGCTTCCAAGGCCAGAATGATACTCTTGGCCTTGTGTGCCTCCTGAAAGCAGATGGTACCGGCCATTTGCGCATCTCAGGGCAGAGGAATTAGCTAAGAGGCTGCTGTATTTAAGAACTATGGACACAGATTTGAAGTGCCCACACACATTTGGTGAGGTCCCTCTTAGTCCAAGAGAGTTCTGGTGGCAAGGGAGAAAAAGGAAGCAGGCCAACTCTCAAAATGTCAAAATGCCACATTTTAGCATAGAACTCTGAGAAGTATGAGAATTAGGAATTTGTGCCTGGCCTCCCAGGTCAATATAAAAGTATATTTGTTAAGGGAGAACAAAACAAATTTTATTAGCAGATTACTCACTTGTATTATAATTTTTTAATAGACATGGTTTGTGGGCCTAAATTTGCACTCTTGTGCTAGAGACAATATTAGGGACAGGCCTGCCGAAAGGCTTATTTTCTCAAACTTCATTGTCTAAATTTCAAGAAACTAACTTCTGCAAGGGATCTACTCCTAAGAAATCTCAAGTCACAATTAAACTCTTTAGGACTTCCCTAGGACCAGCAGCATTGCTCTTCAAGATAATGTGGTACCCAGTGAATACCATTGCCATCCATTCCATCGGGATATGCCTCAGGGAATCTCCAGGACTCTGTCCTGAATCAAGCATCTTCTCTGCTAGCCTTCTTCTTGTGGCACATGCTAAAAATCCACTGATGTCATTTGCAGCTAAACCAGAATCAGTTCCCATTGTGTTGTGTGTCACCTAAACATAGATATAACAGGAACGAAATTTAAAATCACATTACTCTCCACTCCTGCTTGCTCCCGTTAAGAAGCATTATGTTGTTAACCCTGAAAAACTAACAATTTATTATGAACACCAAGGTAAATGAGTAAAGAAGAAATACTGGATAAACTGAAAGGCTAGCTGGATCAGCACTGGAAATGGCAGAGATATACTTGAGGGATGAATTGTATGGGTTGGAAAGGAAGCAAGGGGGCAGTGAGAGAAACAATGTGAGAGACAGAGCTGGAGCAAGGCTGGTCTGGACAGAGTTGAGAGTGAGAGAGGAGAAAGATTCGGAAGCAGCTGCCAGGTGGGTGAGATATTGAGAAAGACCAGCTATAGCAGATTAGATGTGGCCACAAATGTTGCCACTACACCTACCAACAGGGAGAATCTTCTTAATTTCTTTGAATCTGTGACTTGCTTTGGCCAATAGCATGTGACAGAAATGATACGGTGTAACTTCCAAGGCTGAACCTAGAGAGATCTGCCTTGGCCTCTTACACAACCTTGGAACAGTCCCTCTTAGAACCTGGCTGCCATGCTGTGAGAAGCCCAACCTCAGAGAGTGGTCAAAGTGAAGAGAACCAAGACATTCTGACTAAACATCTCAGTTGATCTCGTGGCTGAAGGCCAGCACCTACAGCCAGCCCCATGAATGAGCCATCTTGCGTGTTCCAGCCAAATGAGTTTCCAAATGACTGAAGTACCTGCCAACAGCACGAGAAGAGAACTACCATCCAGCTGACCTCATCAACCCAGTTTTTGATGTTAAACCACTAAATTTGGGGGTGGTTTGCTATAACAGCAACAGATAACCAAAATGTGGGAAAAGACTCCTAAGACACTTAACTGGACATTATAAATGTATTCTCTGTGTGTTCTCTAGAGATTGAACTGAAAAGATTTGATCTTCTTTTCGGTTATTTCTAGATGTCAGCTCAATGTTGAGATGGAGCAATGAGATCTAAATGCCTTGCACTGGGGCACCTGGCTGGCTCAGTCAGTGGAGCGTGCCACTCTTGATCTGGAGGTTGTAAGCTCAAGCCCCACATTGGGGGTAGAGTTTACTTAAAATTAAATAAATAAATAAATAAATAAATAAATAAATAAATAAACAAACAAACAAACATCTTATATGGACTATACATGTAATACCAACCAAAAGCTCTGAATAATTAGCACAAAAATCATGCTTTTCATACCCATGCAGAAAGTACTGGATTTTCAGGGTAACAACTCAAAAAATTAAAAATGCAACAAGATGAAAAAGAAATGCAATTTAAAAGAAAATCCCCAGTGATCCATACAATTTGTAGTGACTACAAATAGTCAAAATTTCATGATTATCTCGATAGTCCCCTCCACAGAACACTACCCACAAACCATTTCACCATAAAGTAGGTAGACACTGCAAATCCCCAAGTGGTATACTATCCTTAACAGAACACCCAGTTCTCAACATCTAGACCATGCCAATATGATGGTCTGTTAAAAAAACCTAGGCTTTCCAGGATATAGGGGTCCCTATGTGCCGCTGAGCTTTGATGTCCCAAAGAAACACACATTCATATATTTGAGACAGGTTTAAAGCACTTCAGGAGCCATACCAATCCAATGTAGGTGATGGTCACACACTGTGGGGTTCCTGTTCCTTCACCCTTCTGGCCACTTGGAAATGACCACAGCTGCAATGAGTCAGTGCTTTTTAATAATAGTGTACAATGTTGCCAAGTTTGGATCAGTAGACTTGTTATTTTTCTCCCCGCAATTCAGATCCTTGGCTCGTTTGCCTCCTGGACTGCCACACCCACATGTTTAAAGATACTTTAGTCAGAGTCAGATAAGCACTGAGCTGTGTCTGCTTTCAAGTATGAGCCGCCTCTGCTTTCAAGTAGGAATTAGGAGTCAATGGCTGATGCAATGTAAATATTTGCCCACCCTTCAGATAAACCACTTGGTGGTATTACTGAAAACAGTCTGCCTTTTCCAAGAGCAGAAAGGCCAGCATTCCCAACCCCAGTAAAGTCTGCATCATGTAAATTCAAGCTGCTACGTTCTCCTTCCTCAGCCAAACTCCAAGGCCCACGGGAAGCAGCTGGAGTCCCGGAATATCCAGATACTGCCCCATGGGCTGATTCCCACAACTGAACTGAATGTCTGCCTTAGTCAACTCCAGGAAAGCTGGATCATATGTCACCCAATCACAAGCCCCAACTGTCTCTTCCGATGTTAGAAATGCCTCAGTCCGTAAAGTAGGCATTAGCTAGAACCTTCGATCCAACATCAGAACAAGGAAGACTGATACTTTGGTTCTCCTAAAGTCAATATCATTTAAATATTTACTCAATATTCCCTTAGCGAGAATCTGGCGCTAATTTTATGATTCTCAAAAATCATATGCAACTTTTTAATTTATATTTGTTATCTGTATTATTCCGACGAGGAAAATTAAAGAAACATGTGCAAACTCTTTAATATGTAAATAATAATGTAAACCACTGTAGTCCAGTTTGTTCCTGGCAAACCAGACTAAAGAATGCCTTAGTTGGCAAAGAAATAGAAAGCACCATCCGTATGGTCCAATCTGAATAGTATTTCAATCAAGGACACAAAGTCCAGCAACCAAAAAACTCATTTGTCACCTTCTGTATCGGCAAGGATCACATTTGACTGAGGGGCTGAATTATCCTACATTGGCTTTTTTAAACTAAGTCAATGAAGTTAGTTCTGTAAATAATGAAGTCATGGCTTAAATTGTTAAAGTGCTCTGGTTAATCTTAATCTCCCCACTTGCACCAATCTCTGAGCTGTTCTGTGTCCCAGAAGGCTGACCTTCATGGACAGCATCATCCACGCTGTACTACCCTCTGGCTCACGTAGGAAGAGAAAGGACCGAGTATTTATTTCCCATAATCTCCACCCCCACCCCCTTACTCGCACAGCTATAGTTCTGGCAGAGCTTCTTTCCTTTGTAGTCACAGGTCATACGAGATAACACCTCTTCTCTGACTCAGGTTCTGGCTCCACTGAATACTATTCCCTCCCTTGACCTGTCAGAATCCCCACTGTTTCTAACCCCTGGGTGTTGCAGCATCTCTTGTCAGTTCCTGTGATGGTCGATTTTATGTGTCCACTTGCATGGGCCATGCAGTGGCCAGATATTTTGTCAGACATTATTCCAAGTGTGTCTGTGAAGGAGTTTTTGGATGAGATTAACAGTTAAATTGGTAGACCAAGTAAAGCGGGTTGTCCTCCCTAATGTGGGTGAGCCTGATCCAATCCAATGAGGACCTGGATAGAACAGAAAGGCTGGCTCTTCCCCCAAGTATGACAGAATCCCCCTGCCTGATGGCATTCAAGCTAAGCCACCAGCTCTTTTTCGCTCTATAGCAACCTGCTGCCCTTTGGACTGAGATGGAGACATCAGCTCTGCCGATTTTAGACTTGTCAGCCTCCATAATCACATAAACGGGTCCAAGAAGGAAAGGAAGAAAGGGAAAAAGGAAGGGGGGGAGGAAAAAAAAAGGGCAGGTGGGTGGCTGAAGGGTGGAAGGAGAGAAGGAAAGGAAGAAAGAAGGAAGAAAGGAAGGAAAGTGCCTATTGGTTTTATTTCTGAAGAATCCTAACACATTTCCTTATCTTCTCTCACATCTCTGTAAAGAGTCTCTTCATTAAGTTATTTTTAAAGCCTTCTGAGTCCACCTCTTGTGTCTGCCAGGCCCCTACCTGATAAATGAGGTTTTCCTTTTTTCTTATTTACCACTCCACAGTGTCCAGAGGTAGGCAATCCCATTTCCGTGCAGGAGAACCGGCATGTTGCTCCTTCTTTCTCCTATCTCGCCATCCTTGGCAAGTGACTTTCATCATCATGTTTGCAAGATATTCCAAGTTCTAGAGGGATAACAGGAAATGGATCAAGAGCTTTTTCTTAGCAAGGCTTTATTCAGAAATGTAGTTTTTGCCTCCCCAAACATTTTATCCCATATCTTGCTAGGCAGAATCATGTTGAATGGCCCTCCTACCCACAAGGGGGTCCAAGACATTGAGCGCATTGCTTTCCAGACTCGATGTTAGATAGGCAAGGGATGCAGGGGCTAGACAGCATCAAATTTCTAAACCCTCAGTACCTGCCATCTGTGGGCTTCCTGAACCCCATAACCACTTTCCTCACATGCCACCACTGCTCTCATATCTCTTTTATACACAGTCCCTAAAAAGTAGACAAAAGAAACTTTTCTTCCTGACCTACCTGCAAGACTATTGTCCTTTCTGTCATCATCTTTGTGTTTTGACTCTGCATCACAAAAGACAAAAAGAACCCTTCTGTCAACGCAGCTCCCCTCAAAGGCTTCAGAGAGGTACATAAATGACCCACAGAAATTAGAGTCCTCTAGGCAGGCAGAGGAAAACAAAAGTCTGGAAACACTCATACATGAATAATGTGTATGTCATATTTCACTTCAGAATTTGAGCTGCTGCTAACTATCACCAGGTCTTAGAGCTGGTGACAGTACCTGTAATTATAGTGTATAATCTGCACTTACAAGCACCAAAATTCTAAACAAAGAAACTACATATGTCATTTTTTTCTCCCAAGATTTCTAATATCATTATGATCACAAAATGGCTGGCTCATCCCCAAGCATCACATCTATGTTCCAGATAGGCTTTACTGAACAGGAACAGGAGAAGCCCTCCCCCAGTTCCCAGAGAAAGAAAGACAAATGTATTATTATTATTATTTTAATTATTATATATTAATAATTATCTAGAGTGCGATTTGTAGAAAGCTGAGTTAACTGGCACCAAATTTCCAATTTACTCCCCTGGCCCTTTAGTGACTTTTATAATCAGCTCTCTGGACAGTTGCTTCCTATTACTCAAGAAATAAAGGAATACCCAGGCACAAAAAGCAGTATTCAGGACAGAGGAATATAAGACAAGCAAGCAAGGAAGCTGGACCTTTGTCACTGAATTCAGCTCCTGGCTTGTGGTGTTCTTCCCAAACATCTTAGCTGTACTTAAATATTCCTTGTTAAGGGCACCCCAATGCCTAGATGCCAAGATGGATAGTTCAGCAATACTGACCCAAAACGTTCTGAGGTCAACATTCCAGAAAGACTTCCTGCATTTTCAAAGATCACTGCATCACTTCTAATGCAATGACCATGGAAATATTTGGAAATTAGTTTACAGGATCAAAAGCTTCTTAGAAAAGGTAAAGCTCTAATATCAGCAAAGATATGTTGATTTTTCCCAATATAAAACACCCTCAGATATATAGATAACACCTTGCCTTGGTGTTTTCCAGAATTATTGCTCTATTGTAATAGAACATATTAAATAAACAGTCAACTAAAAGAAATACCTTTATAATAATTTCTGTCGCTATTTCACATTTTTGGTCATATTTCACAAAATGGATCACAACCTTTAAATTCAAGCAATAATTATTATTAATCTGCTCAACATAATTCTTGGTACTTATTAAAATTTACTAAACAATTATTAATATTGTTATGTTAGATAATTTGGCATTATAAACCAACAGAAAAGAAGCCACGTAATGAGATTGCAGAGTCCTTCAAATCTGTCCCTCTGTTTATTGTTTTTACATCTGCGCACTTTAATTGTTGCTAAAACCCAGCTGCTTTCTGTACATACTACCATGCCATGTCTCCTTAAAGCATTGTAACTTCTCTTGATTAACCAAGAGTAGAATGACTCACTATGTCAATAAGTCTTCTGAATCTTTGACACAATGCAGTGGGTAGAGCAGACAGATGGCAGTGGAGTTGTATGGTGTTTAAAAGACATATATCCTAAAGGGTGTGTCAGTCTCTAGACAGCAAAATTACAAAGGTGTAATTTCTTTCACTCGAAATTTACATTTTAATGGAAGCACTTTCATGTAAAAGTAGGTAAATCTTTTCAGGCCACTGCCAAGCCTCATTGCTTGGCAACTTTTACTGTCTTTTTTTTTTTTTTAAAGATTTTATTTATTTATTTGAGAGAGAGAATGAGAGAGAGAGAGAGAGCATGAGAAGGGGGAGGGTCAGAGGGAGAAGCAGACTCCCTGCCGAGCAGGGAGCCCGATGCGGGACTCGATCCCGGGACTCCAGGATCATGACCTGAGCCGAAGGCAGTGGCTTAACCAACTGAGCCACCCAGGCACCCAACTTTTACTGTCTTAAAGACCCTAGTTGACTACCTTGAAGTCTACATAATGTACATAAATGATATACCTTAGGTATATTTTACATAATCAAGGAGCATTTTCTCCTTAACAAAAATGGTCTCAACATTTATGAATCATTTGTAATTTACACAGGAAAAAAAAAAGTGAGCAAGAAGAATGACCAAAGAGATTGTTTTCAGCTTATATACAGAGAACATTCTAGCCTCGAATTTAAGACGGCAGCCCCTCTGAATTCTGAACTATACTCTTCCTTACAACAGAGGATTGGTTAGTACATCAAGAACAGAGAACAATAACAAATTCCTATTTCTTAGAAAAAGTGTCTGTGAAACTTTCAGCACATATGCTACATGCCAGAGTAACCAACTCATCAGCTGTGACAGTGAGCGCACCCAATACAAAGAACAGCATAGCATCATCTAAGACCAGTAAAAGTAAACATGATTGTGCCGGTACCATGCTGTCTTGATGATCACAGCTTTGTAATATAGCTTGGAGTCAGGCATGGTGATACCTCCAGCTTTGTTTTTCTTTTTCAACAGACACATGGACCAATGGAACAGAAGAAAGAGCCCAGAAATGGACCCTCAATTCTAAGGTCAACTAATCTTCAACAAAGCAGGTAGGAATATCCAAAGGAAAAAAGACAGTCTCTTCAATAAATGGTGCTGGGAAAAGGAGCCACATGCGCAAGAATGAAACTGGACTGTTCTCTTACACCGTACACAAAGATAAACTTGAGATGGATGAAAGACCTAAATGTGAGAGAGAATCCATGAAAATCCTAGAGGAGAACACAGGCAGAAACCTCTTCGGGGCGCCTGGGTGGCTCAGTCGGTAAGCGTCTGCCTTCGGCTCAGGTCATGATCCCAGGGTCCTGGGATCGAGCCCCACATCGGGCTCCCTGCTCCACGGGAAGCCTGCTTCTCCCTCTCCCACTCCCCCTGCTTGTGTTCCCTCTCTCGCTGTGTCTCTATCTGTCAAATAAGTAAATAAAATCTTTTAAAAAAAATAAAAAATTAAATTAAATTAAAAAAAGAAACCTCTTCGACCTTGGCCACAGCAACTTCTTCCAAGACACGTCTCTAAATGCAAGGGAAACAAAAACAAAAATGAACTATTGGGACTTCATCAAGATAAAAAGCTTCTGCACAGCAAAGGAAACATTCAACAAAATTAAAGGCAATCTACGGAATGGGAGAAACTATTTGCAAATGACATATCAGATAAAGGGCTGGTATCCAAGATATATAAAGGACTTATCAAACTCAGTGATGCCTGGGTGGCTCAATCAGTTAAATGTCTGCCTTTGGCTCAGGTCATAATCCCAGGGTCCTGGGATCGAGTCCCACACTGGGCTCCTTGCTCAGCAGGGAGCCTGCTTCTCCTTCTGCCTGACACTCCCCCTGCTTGTGCTCTCTCTGTCTCTCTGACAAATAAATAAATAATATCTTTAAAAATAAAAAAAGAACTTATCAAACTCAATACCCAAAAAACAAATAATCCAGTCAAGAAATGGGAAGAAGACATGAACAGACATTTCTCCAAAGAAGACATGCAAATAGCCAACAGACACATGAAAAAATGCTCCACATCACTTGTCATCAGGGAAATACAAATCATAACCACAACAAGATACCACCTTACACCAGTTAGAATGGCTAAAATTAACAAGACAGGAAACAACAAATGTTGGCAGGGATGTGGAGAAAGGGGAAACCTCTCACACTGTTGGTGGGAATGCAAGCTGGTGCAGCCACTCTGGAAAACAGTAGGGAAGTTCCTCAAGAAGTTAAAAATAGAGCTACCCTATGATCCAGCAATTGCACTACTAGGTATTCATCCCAAAGATACAAATGTAGTGAAAAGAAGGGGCACTTGCACCCCAATGTTCATAGCAGCAATGTCCACAATAACCAAACTGGAAGGAGCTGAGATGCCCTTCAATAGATGAATGGATAAAGAAGATGTGGTTCATATATACAGTGGAATATTACTCAGCCATGAGAAAGGATGAATACCTATCATTTACACTGACATGGATAGAACTGGAGGGTATTATGCTAAGTGAAATAAGTCAATCAGAGAAAGACAATTATATGGTTTCACTCATATGTGGAATATAAGGAATAACGCAGAGGATCATAGGGGAAGGGAGAAAAAACTGAATGGGAAGAAATCAGAGAGTGAGACAAACCATGAGAGACTCTGGACTCTGGGAAACAAAACTGAGGGTTTCTGAAGGGGAGGTGGGTGGGAGGATAGGGTAACTGGGTGATGGGAATTAAGGAGGGCATATGATGTGATGAGCACTGGGTGTTATATGCAATTGCTGAATCATTGAACACTACATCTGAAACTAATAATGTATTATATGTTGGTTAATTGAATTTAAATAAATAAATAATCTTTTTAAAAAGTCAACATGATTAATCCACTTCCTTTGTGCCAGGTATTATTGTAAGTGCTTAACATAAATAACTCACTTAATCTCCCCAATAACCTTGAATGGTAAGAACTATTATTGTCCCTATTTTAAAGATAACAGAACCAGAAACAGGGAAGTTGAGTGATTTTGCTCTTAGTCAACAGCTAGAAATCAGTGGTCTGTCCCCAGAGTCTGATTTTACCTATTATGCTGACCTAAAGATATGCATTCCACCATCAAGAAATTTATGATCCTACTGAAAAAAAAAAAAAAAAAAAAAAACCTATCAGATGAAAAAGATGTGAGAATGGTCACAAGGAAAAGGATTAGACTGAAAAGTAAAGGACTGGAAAGTGGCCCACTATATGAAAAA